AAAATGGCTGCCCACTGCTCCGGGTGTGTGTTCACGGTGTGTGTGTGCAGTTTGGATGGGATAAATGCAGAGCACTAATTCCGAGTATGGGTCACCATACTTGGCCACATGTCACTTCACTTCATAAAACCCATTACAAACCAGTGGGGACATAATTACTGATTAAAATAACTTATACTGTCTTTTTACGCGTTGCATATCACGCCACGTAAACATAAAACCATGTGATCGGAGAAACGACAAACAACAAGAGCTACTCTACACTGTTCAAAACTCGCGTTTGATAGAAGGGCATGGACGAGTCTTAACTTTTATAAAGAATAAAGTCAAAAATCCTCTTTGGATTGAGACTTTAGTCTTTGCAACTTTAGGGATCTTATCTATTCACGAACAGCTTGTAACTGTCACAGGATGACTCAAGAAACAAAATGATCCAAGTGCAGCTTTTAATGATCCAAACATAATCCAGACAATAATCCAAAACAAAACCACTAACATACGTATATACACCAGCAGGATCATCAAACTAACAAAGACACAGCTGAAACAATGAGGATGCAGGGGATGATGGGAGCAGAGTGAGGGGAACCATGGGAAATGCAGTCAAGTTAAAACAAACACAAAGTCCAAAAGAGTGCCCTCTGATGGCTCTTAAGGGCACTCCAGCAGATGACTGTGACAGTACCCCCTCTCTAAAGAGCGGCTTCTAGACGCTCTAAAAGGGAGAAGAAAAAAAAATGAAATCCAGGAGGGAGGTGGAACAGAGGCGGACCAGGGGGAGGGATGGCGGGCCAGGACCGACGGTGCCGGAGGAATGTAAAACTGTAAACAAGAGCAGAAAGAGTTTAGTACCAGGCTCGACGGCTGCAACAGGACAGACAGATCGCTCCGCAATGGTCTCCTTGACCCGGACTGGAGCGGGCTCTGGAGTGGAGTCTGAGGGCTCTCGGACTGGAGCAGGCTCCGTGGCAGGCTCCTGGGCCAATGTAGCAGGAAGCATAAGTGGGACCGGCAAGGCAAGGAGTTTGGTTGGTGCTGGCAAAGCAAGGAGCCTGGGTGGAGCCGGCAGTGCAAGGATAATGGGAGGAGCCGGCAGGACAAGGATCATGGGTGAGACAAAGAGAGTGGGCTGCTCAGAAACTTTTGGGACCACCAGAGTCGGGTCCTCCAGGACCACCAGACTTGGGACCACCGGAGTATGGTCCTCCAGGACCACCAGACTTGGGACCACCGGAGTATGATCCTCCAGGACCACCAGAATTTGGACCACCAGAGACGGGTCCTCCAGGACCACCTGACCTGGGACCACCAGAGACTGGTCCTCCAGGACCACTTGGCTTGAGACCACCGGAGTCTTTGCTGCCCTCCTTCCTGATCTTCGCTTGAGCGTGGGAATCAATGAAGGATCCTGGGCTTGACTAGATGAAGGAGGTGGGGATGGAACAGCCCCTGCAGGTGGACTCTGGTGGTGGTGAATTACCTTTCCCTCCTTTCGGAGCTGCAGGTACCTGGAGAAGTTCCAGAAATCCAGTGACATCACCAGTTCCATCTCCCAATGCGGTAAGGATTCATCCAGACAAAGATTAAAAATGTCCTTAAGGTCCATACCTTGAATGCCCAGCCTCTCCGCCCCAGTCCAGAATCTCTGGGCAAAGGCCTGTACCTCCATTACCTTTTGGCGAAGCTTCGCCAGCCCTTGAAGCCCGGCTTGCTCTTCAGGGAATAGAGTCTTGTCCCTCATGCTGCTGGATCAAGTAATGGCTTTAGTCTTCTGTCACAGGATGACTCAAGAAACAAAATGATCCAAGGGCAGCTTTTAATGATCCAAACATAATCCAGAAAATAATCCACGTAACAGCAAAAGCAAGACTGAAGCCCCGAATGACACAAAACCACCAACATATATACACCAGCAGAATCATCAAACTAACAAGACACAACTGAAACCAATGAAACAATGAGGATGCAGGGGATGATGGGAGCAGAGTGAGGGGAACCATGGGAAATGCAGTCCAGTTAAAACAAACAAAAAGTCCAAAAGAGTGCCCTCTGATGGCTCTTAAGGGCACTCCAGCAGATGACTGTGACAGTAACACTCCAAAGAGAAAGGAAAACTTGAAATCACATCATATGACCCCTTTAAATGCAGGTCAACTGTCCTGTTCCTGAGGAAATGACCCATCACATGTGTTTTAGAAGTGATCTCTCAACAACGTCTCATATGCTCAGATTTGTCAAGATTGTCAATCAAAAGTCAGATTTCAGTACAAACTCAAACACTTCCCTTACGAAAAAGAAGTTTATTCAAGTGTGCTATTAGTATCTATACTACTAGAACACTGATATTTGTATACTTGCTACATAAAGTATACTTAAAAATATACTTGAACTTTACTTAAGTATACTTAATAAAATAAACTTGAAGTATACTACTTTTTGGTAAGGGTTCTCATCAAATTATTCTAAAATCAAACAATTTGAGCTATCCTAACCACATATAGCAAATACTATCATGCAAACAATGTTTAGTGTTTACTTGCATCTCTTTTTACTGCATTCTTTTCCGGATAAAAAACAAGACAAAGAAAATATTAACGTAAAAAAAAATTACATAAATAAATAAACCTTAACTGAGATGTTTAAGCCTCTCGAGCAATAAACTAGCAACCTCTGAGCAATATAAATGTCTTTAGGGTGTCAGTGTGTGTGTTCGTGTGAGTAGGCTACAGTGATTACGCATCTCGAGCTAGTCCCCGGTGGCGCAGAGCGTGTCATCCCGCGGCTGAAGGCGGAGGCGAGCCCCTTTGCCCGTGATATTAATATGCTTTACCGCTATTCCAATCCCCGAATCAGTTCGCAAGTATTTGCTCTTGTTTGCCGCTTGTGTTGTCCTGCATTTGCAAACACTGGACAGCAACTTAACCCGTTTGTGTTGACAGCTACTGAAGTCCTTTGCAATGTCTCGTCGAAAGCAGGCGAAGCCCAGATATTTGAAAGGTACGAAAGGCATTTTATTTATTTAATCTCTTGCTTCCTTGTTGTCTGAAGTGAAATCCGACCGCGGAACAAAACGACCGATAGAGTAATTATTTGCAGATCATTAGGCTGAAAATCAGTGTTTCGGGAAAGATCAAAACAGGAGACAAGTTGTTTTGGAGCAGAACTTTCATCGCGTTTTTGAGTAACGTAATGCAATTTCATTGAGAGGGGTTTGTCATCACTCTTGTATGTGATGCACATTAATACGGATTGATTTATTGAAGAATGATTTATCACGTACTGTGATACTGTAGCCTATTGGGTTTCTAGAACAACAAAGTTGTTTCTATCTGTAGTCAAAACTAAATGTGTGTGTGTTTTCCATCGCGGGGACTGAATGTCCCAACAAAGACGGTGAAATCTGAAAAACGGCTTAATAAACATTCTAAATAATGTCTTAATGAAATTGTAAACATTCATAAAGATTTATGTGAGGTTTAAATTTAGTAGGGAACAGAAAATATTACTAGGTATAAAAACAATAAAGGTCAAAAGTCCCAAGCTTAAGAGAAAAGCAATGTGCGTGTACAGTATATGAGTATTTAAAAGTTGCCTGAGGTTTTTATGTTTGAGAATAAAAGCTATTCATTTTCTTGTCATCATGCTCTGTTATGTCACCTTGAAATCACAGAATACAGATATGGAGTACAAGAATGAAATGAGTAAAGAACAAATGAGCATTTTTGTATAAAAAATAAGGAATAATTGAATTGAGCTTGGTGTGAATCTGTGCGCTTACAGGAGTTGCACTTTATTTGCTTATTTAGTTTTCCCTATAGAGATGATTCACTCGTCCACTTATTATTGTTCATGGCATTTTATTATTAAAAACTAAAAAAAGACACCATGAAACATATGAAAGTATTTCAAACAGTACTTGTCTTCAGTGTACCCTTTATTTAAAGAGCAAACATGAACAGAAGGGTATTCCCCTGCTAGATGAAAATATATCAAAATGTTGATATTTGTTCACACCTTTCCCTTTTAAATTTTTTTTTTAATTATTATTATTTTTTATTTTTTATGCAAACAGATATACAATTTACCGGGTGACAAATCAAATACAAAATAACCAAGGTCAACAAAACATACATGACAGCCAACATGATTTGTGTGTGTGTGTTAAAAATATTAATAATAATTAAAAATAAATAAATAAATAAATGAAATATTCATATAATAATAATAACAATAATAGTAATAATAATAATAATGAACTCAATTCATCAGAAATGAGGGGAAAGTTGGAGGATGTGGAAGATGACAAATAGTAATAATAATAATAATAATGGTAGTAGTAGTAAATAATAATAACGGCACCAACAACAACAACAACAATAATAATAATAATAATAATAAAGCTATAAATAGTGAGATATTGTATAAGACAAAGGGGTGCCATAGTGTCCTGTTATATTTTGTTGCTATAATTGGTTAGTTGTTAAATGCTATGTTAAATGTGAATGGCTTTGTAACTACCTGTCACTCTTTCTTGCTCGCAATCTTTTCTCCACAGGTCAAGACGGAACGTTAAATACAAAGGAAGATAGCGTGATAGTGGGGAAGAAAGGCTGCTCCTGGGAGAGGAGAAAAGAAAACTATGAGGAGAGGGAAATAATTGAAAAAGAGAAGGATGAAGATGCTAAAGAGCACAAGTGTGCAAGCCTACAGCAACTAGAATCATTCACACAACAGAGGCTGAAGTACTGCCACGGTACAGGTACACACTCCCACACTATCCTTCATTTTATAGTATCCTTTACATTGATAAACTGTGAATATTGTGAATATATCCATCTCGCTTTGTATCTCTTCACAGACGGATTAAAAGGAATAAAGACCTCTAGGGTTTCATATTCAGGGTTTAGTGTTTGCAATTCCCTGTTTGCACACTAACAGAATGAATCATGCCTTTACAAATGATTTTGGATTTATGATATTGCAATTGCTAATCGTGTGAAGACACATTCTTATGTTTTTAATATGCTTTATCCTTTAAAGGGGTCATATGATGCTGCTAAAAAGAACATTATTTTTACATTAATCCTTTGATTCAGTGTATAATTTGGTACCATGATTTCGGTTTTGGTTTTCTCTTGTAGATGTTCAGTACTTTAAAGTAGCAGCACTCCATTTGTTCAAACTGTGAATCTAGTCTTCTCACACTGACAGCAATTTTAGTGACAGTGGGACTGCTCATTATGTGGCCACATACCGAGCTAATTACATCTAAAAAAGTGTGAAAAAGAGCATCCAATTCATATTTTTGGTGTTTAGTCTGCTCTTATGAGGCTGAATTACATTTTAACCCGCCAGACTTCAGCAAGACAGACCTCTTGAAACAGAAGAGTAGAATTCTTAGCTATAACATTACAGTTTTGGCTATAGTGCATAGTGTTTGGGTAGCTACAAGTTACCTATAATTTAAAGTAGTTAGAACTGCAGCTATCATTTATCATTTAACTATCAAGTAGTTAACTACACCACAATTTAATAAGATATAGCTAACTAACTGAAGTTATATAAAGGGCCATGTCTTAAATTATAAAATATAATTAGCCTGTCTGACAATTACTGCAAATGTACTTAATTTAGAAGCTCTGCTAAATTAGTTGCTTTTAATTTGTTACTTCTCAACAGTGCTGGTGTATTTTTTTATTTTTTTAGCAAAAACATTTTTATGTTGTAAATACATTATCCTCTCTTTTCTGTCCACAGCAAATCATAATGTGGAGAAAGATGAAGCATGTTGTTTGGCTTTGCCTCTTTCCCCTGGTACTTCCTCCTCTGACCATGAAGATGGATGTGACCTTGGATGCATAAGAGACACATATAAAGATAATCAGAGACTTGATCAGTGTGGGAGAGCAAACACCCCTTTGCCTGGCAACAGTTCAGTACCTCTTGAAATATCCCAACAAGATATCAGTAGTGAGACCTTCATAAACAGCAAACAGGGCTTGAGTAATCAATATGAACAGGGTAGTGCTATACCCTCCCAACATCTCTCTCTTCCAAATGATCCACTGAATTACATGGGGGACACTGAGAAAAGACAACCTCCAAATTGTGCTGCACAAGATCAGTCAGCCCTCTCAATGGCAGAATGCACCTGTGCCACCTCACACACGTCCAGTCCAGCCACTACAAATACTGCAGAGGTGGCATTTAGGACAATGGCTTCTGCAGAAAAGAGAAAGTCTCATTTTGACTCAAACAGTTGTTTAGGAATCTCCAAAAAGCTCAGGGCTTTCAGTAATTGTGTTCATTGTCACAATCACATGAACCCCAGAGCACATCCACAGACCCAACACATGGAAAACAAGATCCGATCTAGTTCTGAGAGCCTGACTTTTCCATCTGAACTTACGGAGCACCATAAAGAGGATAATGTCATGCTAGGCCACTCCATTTTGCTTGAGGCCGCAGTCACGGCGGCCGTTCAAACAGTCCTTCAGTGTAGCTTCTGTCCCACATTGTTAAAAGACCTGAAGGCCCTTCAAAAGCATGTTCGCCAATCGCACAACTCTGCTTTAATCGAGAGCAACGTCTTCTTCTGCTCGCAGTGCTTCCGAGGATTCCTGACAAAGGACACGCTAGATAATCACGTGCAGCAAACCCACTGTAAAATCCAGAGCCTGAAACTTGATCCAGATCCGGAAGAAACAGCAGAAAGGAAGTCTTTGATTTTCTGTCCATACTGCACTCATTTGCCTACGTTTAACAGTAAGCTAAAACTGATGCAGCATATCAAAAAGACACACAAGAACATTAACTTGATGAACCTTAAAGAGGGAAGGATGACAATGGGTTCGATGTCACCCCAGTCTATCAAGAGTCCAGGCAAAAAAACGGCATTATCTTCAACCGACTTCATATGTGACCATTGTGGGGCTAAATACAACGATTCGGATTTGTTTCAAACTCACTTGAGTTCTCACCTGAACAGTATGCTTCCAAAACATACGTATCCAGAGTGCTTCAAGGATTTCCCAAACCATGAATCTTTTAAGAAACACACAGTTTCTCATTTTAGCAATACATCTACGCTCTACATCTGTGAAAGCTGCAGTAAGACCTTCCCCAGTGTCAAAGACTTACATGGACATCTACTTGAGATGCACACCATTGTGTTTTACCGTTGTTCCCTTTGCCAGAAGGTGTTCAGCTCCAAGATGTCTATTCAGGTTCACCTGGCCTCCGAGCACAGTAACAGGAGAACCACGTTCCACTGTACGTCCTGTGAATGGGACTTCAAGCAAGAGCATGACTTGCACCTGCATGTCAAACAGAAGCATCTTGACAAACAGTGCAATGTGTACTCTTGCATCTTCTGCGCAGAGTCCTTTACCGCAGACATAGAGCTGCAGTGTCATATCACAACACATAGCGACAAATGCAGTCCCTGCATCTGTACCAAGACCAGATCTCCCCTCGAGGTGCCCTTACACGAGAAAGTCTGTGCCAAGAGCCAGAGCGCTGAAGGTAACAACGTGACCCCTCCAACTGTCTCTGAACCAGCTGCCAAGGACAGCGCTGGAATGCTGCCAGTGAATAGTGAAATAAGAGAAGGTAAGGTGGAATCGCTGTTCAGCCCTCCCACCGAAAGCAAAGGGAAGGCAAATCTGAACGATCCTATGTTTGCCTGTGAAATCTGCGGAGCTTCTTACACCATGCAGTCCTTGCTCACCAACCACCAGCTGCGAGATCACCACATCCAGCCCGGGGAGAGTGGCACTCTCAAGCGCAAAGTGGAGGCAATCCAAGGGAGCCACAAATGCAAAGACTGTTCCAAGACCTTCTTCACTGAGATGGCTCTGTGGGAGCACGTCCAGACTCATCTAGGCCCCACCAAGCACTGCCAATGCCCCATCTGTGGAGAGCGCTTCCCTTCACTGCTAACTCTGACTGAACACAAGGTCACCCACAGCAGGAGCTTGGACACAGGCAACTGCCGCATCTGCAAGCTTCCGCTTCACAGTGAGGAGGACTTCCTGGAACACTGTCAGAGGCACCCAGACCTGCACAACTCACTGACAGGCTTCCGCTGTGTCGTGTGCATGCAGACTGTCACCTCCACTCTTGAGCTGAAAATTCATGGAACTTTCCACATGCAGAAGGTCCAAGGTGACGATCTGATCACCAGCTGCACGGATCCCTCCAACCTTATTCCTGACCTTAAAATCTCCTCAAGTGTTGCTCAGCAGGAAACTGTGACTGTGAACGTTAATACATTCAAGCATAAACTTAGAGACAATAAGACTAGCATTTCTGTAGTCAACTGTTGTTCGGCTACGGCTCTCATACCGGAGGAGAGAAGCAATAAGAACACTCTCACCCAGACCACACCAGTTTGATTCAACAGCAAACCCATAATAAAGGACCTCACTTGTAAATGACAATAGATGTACTCTTCTGATTGCTTATGATCTGGAATATCTGTTTGTATTGTATTATGTATTCATGCCTTAAATGTGTGAAGACATAAAGATGTTTGGGAGAGGCTGTTTTCTCCCATCCAGTTTTAAAAGTAGTTTCTTTTGTTTTGAGATGCTCGGCAAATGACTAATTCTCCCAAGTGCAAGGCTAATCTTCATTGGACACTTCTGAGGTTCTGAACTCAGATTTACTGCCATATTTGGATCATTTCCTCTATCTTTGTTGTGTTCAAGATAAATCCTTGTGTTAAGAAATGGAACTGGATCTTGGTGGATCTAGACAGTAATGAGTTGCTGATGACTGAAACTGCAGACGCGCAGAGGGGCAGAAAAGAGGATGAGATGTGGGCAGTGGGACTTGATATTCTGAGGGAAAGAGTCATTAGCAGTGTTATATCTAATTGAAATCTAAGCAGGCCTCTTGGTAGACTTTATGGATTAGATGTAGGGCTTTTGGACAATGACATCTGATAATCACAAAACAGTTGAAATGTTATGTATTTTTATTATTTTATGTCTTTTTAGTAAAATATCTCTGCCTTTTTTATATTTTTGACTCAAAATTTCAATTATGTGTCTTGTTAATTGTGTGTCTGTAAATGATATTCTGTTGCAGAAAAGTAAATTGCTTTCATGGGTAAATGTGCATGTATGTGTAATTTGCATTTTCAGTTCTCCATGTAGATTTAAAAAAAAAAAAGAAATAATAATAATCAACCCTATGGTATGTTACTGGACCAATGCAGAGGGAAGGAGATTACTGGACTAGTGGAGTAACAATGTTTTCTTAGTCTTATGTAAAATGTAAAACAAAATCATGTATAAATAATAAAAATAATATAGTGATTATAAGTTATAAAAACATTAGAACATTTCTTAGCTCCTTAAATGAAACTTTTTTAGAGAGGTTGGCAATGTTTCACCTGATATTGTTATGTGTGGTATCAAGGTCCAGTAATACATCTTGGCAATAAAGTTTTACGTTTGGGACAACAATAAAATTGAATGGCAGGATTTGACTTCCTCCATACTACGGTGTTTCCTCACACTAGAGTGTTTGTGCATTTGCTGATCATTTTATAAGCAGTACAACTACCCATTGATTTGCTGTTGACTTTTACAAATCCAACTAGCATGATGTCAGTGCATGTTTTTGAAAAGGAAAGTGAGGTAATAGAGCCCTGAAGTTGGAAGCCACCAGGACCTCATTTGGAAATACCCCTCAGTCACCATGACAGCAGCTGGGCTTTGACCGTAGACACAGGAAGGAAAAGAGACATCATTTAAGGCACGCCTGTGCTGTAAAAATGCATTTTCCAGAAAAAATATTATAAATACACCCAGGCATACAGTGAGTGCAGGGTGTTACTGAATCTGTACAAGAACACAAAAGTCTGTATCAGAAACTTGATAGGGTCAATGAACTGTCAGCTCCAGTCTGATTTTATATAATCATAATACAAATGTATTGTTTGTATGCTATAGACATAGTGATCAGAAAATGTTTGGTTTAAAACATGAACTTGGTTTTCCTTTTGTGTGTCCAGGCTTTAGGCCAAGATAAAGTCGGCTGTGAAAACATGATGCCGGGTAATGCCCGGACCATCTGTCAATAAGCATCTCTCGAGTGGGTCGAATGCAGAGGAGAAATGACTAAAAAGACAGAGCAGCTACAATGAGTTTTGATTTTGCAGGGTTAAAGATGCATATTAAGTACAATACAGTGCCATAGTGATGTGCCAGTAGTGCAAATATACAGTATTTGTCTTTCTCTTAAAGGGATATGAGTGAATATAAATCAAGGCATGATTCGTCTAGAACTGAAAGTGCTCTTGTAAATAAGCATGTTGTGTATGAGAGGTGTTACACCTAAGCCTTCTCAAAAAAATACAGCTGACTGAGATCCTTTATGTTCTGGGTGTTAACAGACCAGTCTGACCTGCTGTCCATGTGCACTCCGAAGAAACTGTGGGACTATGCCATGTCAACATCCTCCCAGGATGGAAACCAGGGTGAAAGGTTCCTCTTCCTAATGATTTCCAACATCTTTGTTTTTCTTTTTCTTTTTTCCACATTGCATCACTAATCATTTCTCTGCACTCACCCTTCTCTCACAAGGTCTCACATTTCCAAAAATCACATATCCATCATTTGAGTACTCCCATAAGTGACTATACAATGTTGTATTTAAAATCTGTTGTGTAAAAAGAGTAAACAGGAAGGGAGCCATGATGTCCCTCTAGGGGATGGGGTCGAGATAACTGCTCACATGATCTGAAAAGGTCAGGCAGTCAGAGAGGTGTGAAAATGAGGTCAGTTTTTATTTTATGTTGGCAAAAGGCGTTTAAGCGTCTGGTTTTCAATTACTGATAAATTAGACAGTGGATAAACATTAAATGAACGACTGCAAGTTGAAAGTGGGACAACACTCCCCCATATTTGCTGAGTATCTGACACAGCACCCGATTAGTTTGTTTTTAACTGGACTTGTTTTCATCTTTTCTTTTTAAACGATGTTGTCAAATACTGTAACAGTAGTGGTCATTGGTTATAATACTAATAGGCAACACATCTGTTTTGACACTGTTGTACTTGTATTATTGCATTTAATTGTGTACTATATGATGTCACACTCACAACGCAATATGATAGGCCCATTCGAATATGATTTGCGATTAGGTAATATAAAATATTATAGTATTACCTCAATTGTAGTTGTAGTATTATCAAAGAACATACAGTATATAAGCTTCTGCGGTTTAGTGGAAACTAAGAGCGCATTAAAATCAATGAAAAAGCTTTTATACAATTTCGCATGTTCACATAATGACCAGTAGATGGAGCTGCGAGATTATGTGTAAATACAAATGTGCGCGAACCCAAAATGTCTTTCAGTATACATATTATTTTACACACTACTGTATTTTGTCGAGCTTCTTTTTAAATACAGTGGCAAAGTTAGTTCAGCGGTTTCCCTTTATCTCTCTCAAGCCTCAGGGTGAGGCCTTGTTGTCATCACCTGAGATTGAAATTTAAGATGTTACTGCAGTCAGCTCTTTCCCGTTATGACCCATAATTCCCATTGACGTATGATGCCTGTTTCAGGATATGTTCTTCCTAAAATACATGTTAAAGGAATAGGGTATTGTGGCTAGCATACCCTCTCAGTGTGCATGCATGGGGCATGCGCACAGTGAATAAGAAAAAAATATATATATTTTTTTGATTAAGCATTTACATTAATTTTACAGTATAATTGGAATTTACTGCAATTTGCTGTATTTTATGACATTTAAACACATAAACTGCAGAAATAAAGTAGATATTAGGCTACACCATGGTTTGGCGGCTCTTAACGTGAAATAGTAGGTGATGTATTTTACATGAGAAGTTCATGGCACTAAAATTATATGCTTTTGAGAGATTAATTCCTACAGTTGGAAAAAGGCAGGCAGATCTAAGGACTGAGTGCCTGAATACAGGATGTTTTCTGTGGAGCCTTCCTTCCTTAATGTAGCTATTAATAATTCACATTTCATGAAACATATCAAGAGGGATAGGCCTACTACGAAAGAAAGCAGGAGACAGAAAATTAGAGCGAACAGAACGAAAGGAAATGGCTTTGAAGAAAAAAAAATTAATCTCTTGGAATTTGTTATAGATTTGAAGAGAACTGCATAGTCTGTACATCAATGTAACATCTCAGTCTTAGGCCAAATGCAAAAAAAAAAAAATCACTGCAAGGTAATTAGAATGTTATCCCACTAAGATAAAGAATGGTCTTATTTTGTGAAAGTCCAAGATATTTCACAGAAACAAGATATTGTTTCACACGATATGGCTTCACAATCTGTCTCACACATTCTGTGCAAAATATAGTTTTGTAAATTGTGATGATGAGTGATGTGTCAAGTGGAATTTATGAACACATGCTCGCAGACTGAGGCAGGACAGTTGCTATTTGCACATACAGTTGGTCAGTCAGTCTGTCTCAGCCAGATGCCCAGCCCTTCACAACAGGGGCGGGCACCAGTAGGATGATTGTTAGTTATTGGCTGAGGACAGCTGCTGGCTGCTTAATTATTCATTGAGAGAAGGGCCAATTAGGAACTGAGTTAATTATTCAGGATGTTTTACGGTGGAAGGAGAGGGCAGACATACCAGATGACCATGAATTTGTCTTGCTTTTAGCCTTTTCATGAAAGACACCAAGAATGTCATATGCATTTTTCACTCAAAAGTGTAAATGAGGAAGGATGCTGAACTATTGCACTTGCTCAACATGTAATAAGAAATATAGTCAGCATTTTTATTTTTTAAAGAGCACACAAATGGGTCAACACAGAGATAGTTTTCAGCGACCCACATTTTAACCATCAGACCACAGAAACCAACAGTTTTCAATATTTAATGCTGAAATGACAAATTATCACTTATTACTCATTTAAATTACTTTTCACGGTGTCCTTAGAATGTTTTGTGTCTGTGAAAAACATACATTTTTAAATAAATAAATTTTCAGTATCTGTTGAAATATTTTATTGACTAATTTTAGTATCATACTCTTAAAACCATGGCAACTTCAGAGGAACTTTTGTGCTTCTCTTGTAATCTCGCTTGAGTTTGTTTACAGTTTCTTAAAGGGGTCATCGGATGCAAAATTCACTTTTCAAGTTGTTTGAACATAAATGTAACATCCGATGACCCCTTTAAAAGAGCAGAATTATGTGCAAATTGTGCATCATAATTTGGTGACTGTATGTGAAAAGCTTGACTTCAATTTAATATGTGACCCTGAACCACAAAACCAGTCTTAAGTTGCACAGGGATATTTGTAGCAATAGCCAAAAATACATTGTATGGGTCAAAATTATAGATT